TTTTTTTTTTTTTTTTTTTTTTTTGTAATATGGAACCTGAACTACATATATACAATTATTTGCAAGCTCGACTACTTTTTGACCGTCCGATCATCAGAAAAAAAGAACACGTGTATGGTCAAGATGTGGCCGAGCGTGCAAATAGTGACTATATATGTAGTTCAAGTTGCATTTTACAACAAAAATATTTTAGGTTGAAAATCCCAAAGCACGTATAGTACAGGTTGAAAAAAATTATTTACCCCCCATAGGCCATACCCATTTCTTGCTACCATACTTTCTCACCAATACCTATTTCGTTTCCTCAAAAAATGCCAAGCACACTCTTATCTGAATATAAGTGAGTCTTTTAGAACAAAACCTTTAAGATTCCTCATGAATGTGCTAGTTGTTACAATATGAAAAGGATGAAATAAATTTAACTCATTATCTTAAATGACATAACCTCAAAATTCGAACTGTAATAGCAACAAATAAACTCTATAGGGGCTACATGGATACAAAAAGGTGTGCCAAGATGGAAAGGATTGATATCTAGTAGGATAAACGTGTTCATCGTGTTATGTATGCCAGCTTGTTGGATCGACAATTTGATGCACTTCATTTCTGCTTGTGTTCCTTCCCTGGCTGGCCTCTTTCGAGGGTTTGCACCTTTTAGCATAAGTTCTATTTATGGAGTTCACTGATGAAAACTCGTGTATGAGTCCACCAATGCTGCATGGAACGAAGCCGCTGACCTCATTTCGTATGGGATATTAGACTAAGGAACTCTGGACTGAAAATTTTCAGTTGACAGTCAAGAATCAACTTTTGACTTCAGTGATATTGTCAATTTCAAAGCATAGAATGAATTGCATTTTAACAGTATGTTTTATGCTTATGCAGGCTTATTTTGAACGATAATACTGTAGAAATGAGCACAGAAGTTGTTGATTTGACCATGGAAAGCAATGGCATCACTATTTTGGAGCCCTTTGACGCATCTATAAAATTTTCCAGTGCTTCTGGAAAGACAAGCCTGCAGTTGGTTGTTTCAGATATATTCATGAATTTTTCATTCAGCATCTTGAGGCTATTCTTAGCTGTCGAAGAGGATATTTTATCCATCTTAAGAACGACATCAAAGAAATCAACTGTTTTATGTTCTGAATTTGACAGGATTGGAACCATCAAAAGTAAGTGATTATATAGTTAGTATGATTCACTTTGTTGTGTTGAATTGGATATATATATATATTCATTGTATTCTTGTTAGTGAGAGAACTTGGAGCAGTGACATATATACCTGTATCTGCAGGTCCTGTAAGTGACCATGTTTATGCATTCTGGAGACCTCGAGCACCAACTGGTTTCGCTGTACTTGGTGACTATTTGACACCGATGTTAGTATTTTCTAATTTCTAATGCTCTTCCTGTTTCCATCCATTTTACGTATAGTAATTCATGTGAGCTTTCATTTCCTTGTTTGGCAGTGATAAGCCACCTACAAAAGGTGTAATTTCTGTCAATACCAGCTTAATACGAGTGAAGAAACCAAAATCTTTCACGCTCGTATGGCCTCATTCTTCTCGCAGTGACATCCTGCAGACTGAAGGAGTAGGTAGTTCTGAGTTGGCTAAAAATGAAGGCAGCTCCGACGGGGACACAACATGCTCAATTTGGTTGCCTGAAGCCCCAAATGGTTATGTAGCATTGGGTTGTGTAGTTTCTCCTGGATGGGAACAACCTTCAATTTCGTCAGTGTTTTGTATCTCGGCATCTTTGGTTTCCCCTTGTGGTCTGAGAGATTGTGTCAGTATTGGATCAAACGTTGGGTATGGAAAATTTTGCTATTACATGGTTCTTTCTGAAGGAGATTCCTGAGTTCTTTTACTTATAACACTTCCACCACATCTTACCTTTCATATGTATTTTGTTCTTCAACGAAAATCTGAAGCAACTAGCTGCTATTTTTGTGCACATAATCAATTATAGGGTCTTGTATTCTTTGGCTGTCACCCTCAGTTTGATTAGTTGATATTGTTTTTGGGGTATGATTTATATAGATGTCCGGACATCGCTTTCTGGCGGGTGGATAATGCCTTTGGAACGTTCCTGCCTGCTGATCCTGCTACGATGAATCTGACTCAGGGAGCATATGAATTGAGACAATTGTACTTTAGGTTACCAGAAATTTCTCCCGACAAACTGATAGGATTTGAAAAGCAAACGTCTACATCAGCTGGGGACGACGTTATTCAGTCAGAAAGTTCATCTACAGTAAATTCTAGACGGAGGATTGAAGCGGTTGCTACCTTTCGATTAATATGGTGGAATCAGGGCTCTGGATCAAGGAAAAAGATATCCATCTGGCGTCCTGTGGTCCCAGAAGGAATGGTGTATTTCGGTGATATCGCTGTTCAAGGGTAAGAAATAGTCTATTGTACTGTTGATTGACTTGAAACTCTCATGACGCTGCCTATGTATTTCTTACTTGATTTTCAGGTATGAGCCTCCAAATACTTGTGCAGTTTTCCAAGAATCAGAAGATAACGATCTGTTTATAGCGCCTTCTGATTTTCAACCAGTTGGACATGTAAAAAGACAAAGGAAAGTGGATAGCATATCTTTCTGGATGCCTCGGGCTCCTCCAGGTTTTGTTACATTAGGGTGTATTGCTTGCAAAGGCAAGCCCAAGCAATCTGATTTTATCTCTTTACGGTGCATTCGCGCTGATATGGTCTCAACAGATCATTTTTTGGATCAAAGTGTATGGGATTTATCTGATTCCAAGTTTGTAAGAGCGCCATTTAGCATATGGACAGTTGGCAATGAATTTGGCACCTTCATTGTCGGGAATGGTTTAAAAAAACCTCCTAAACGGTTTGCATTGAAGCTCAGTGGACGAGACACGCCAAACAGTTCTGATGATACTGTGATTGATGCAGAAATAAGGACCTTTTCTGCAGCACTTTTTGATGACTATGGTGGCTTGGTAATTTGATCACTTAATTTGGTTATTGAATCATCCTCAAACATTATTTCTTGTCTTTTTCTCATTGGTTAAGTTAGAATAACATTTCATTTGCGTTATGTTGCTTTCCACCATTAAGTTACTGTTAGTGAGGGAAATGTCTTATCATACTATAGATGCACTCCTGTTTCCATAGCACATTTTATTAATGGGTCTGTCTTGCATTTTGCGTATCCTTTACTTGTATTTGAGTCTTGATCTGAAGTATGAAGAAGATCCGTAAGTATAAAAGGTTAAAATGATGGAAGAACCTTTGATCGTATTCTGTTTATTTGCATGAAGAGTGTGATCTTTGCAGCGTGGTACATGCTATTTTGATAGTTTGGCTCCATCTTAGGATCTACCTTTTACGGTTTGTTGATCAGGATCGTAGTACTAAGTATTTAGGGTCATCTGGAGATGGGCATCTTCTCTGGTCTAATTTTTGTTTTTTAATAAATATAATGATCAATTTTCTTCCTTTTCACGCCTAAAGCTCTCCAAGTACTATCGCAATCTATTTTCACTGAAGACACCCCTGTTTAAATGGGTTTTGTTTTAGCATGCATTGGGAACATAAGTGAGATTATATGTTTGTTCCAATTGAAATTGAAATTTGTTGTAAAATGGCTACTGTTCTCTGCACAGTAGGTTCTTTTCCTGAATTCTTTCCGGGAATGAAAAATTCTACTGGTGTATTACCCTATTGCTTGTTCTGTTTTTGTATTCAAAGTTTCATTAATAAATGAATTTGAATGGCTAGCTGTGCTAAAAAAGAAATGCACACATAACATCTCTCCGCATGCATCAGCATTTGCTTATAATATTTAATCATAACTAACATATACACAAATGTGTGTGGCGTATATACACACACACACACATACACATTATATATTTTATATATATAAAATATATATATATATATATATATTACTACAGTACGTTGTAGAACTCCATATGTTATAAACTTGTACATATAGGTCTGCATGTGTAAGATTTTTCATTCCTTTATTCTTCAAAGCTTAATTCTTTCTCAACTATGTCCTCCCTCACCCCCCCCCCAGGTTGTCCCATTGTGTAATATATCTTTGAGTGGCATTGGATTCAGCCTGCATGGAAGACCTGATTTGTTGAAGTCGAGTGTGACCTTCTCTTTGGCTGTGAGATCGTACAATGATAAGTATGATTCGTGGGAGCCTCTTGTTGAACCAGTTGATGGATCATTGAGGTAATGCTTTAGAATGTTACACCCTTCCAGTATTTTTCCACTTGATATACCAGAGCCTAATTCTATATACCAGAGCGTAAGTGCGCCTGATAGCTACCTTTATTCCAGTCTACATAGTACTTTTTGCGTTATTGTTTCACTCTCAATATGTAATTGTTTGAATGAGAGTGTTGCTTTGAGTAGCGAAGGCTCTTTCCCCGTGTTTGTGATCTGGAACTTGCTGCATTTTAGATTTCTCTCTTAGTCACCGGAACTTGCAGAGGTCACTGGTCACCTAACTTTAGTGATCAGAGGTGGCTGCTGCAAATGAACGCCGAAAGCTTTTGGCTGAAAAAAGGAACCAAAAAAAAAAAAAAAGGGCCGAGAGAAGGGGTCGTGGGCTTTGGATACCATCTAAAGTTCTTGAGAAATTTTGCTGTAATGAGTGATAATAAGTCCCAGCACAATCACACTTATATAGGGCTAGACAACGTAAATATACAAATCAATGCCTTAAAAATGGATATGTAAATAGCACATTTCCTATGTGACCTAGCAAAATCAATAGTACAAGGAAATAAATCAATATTTATATAAATACTGTTGCATTGAAAGAGGAATCTCAAAACAATATACATAATGAAATCATATCTACCTTGGCTTTCTTTGTTAAATGCTTCTTCTGGTTCAATTGCCTCTTTCATTGAAGCATTTGGTATCAAAGCTCATGCAGTATCCACATTTAAAAACGCGTTTCCGTTTTTTAAGTCCCTCTGTGTAGTTGCAAGTGCATTCTTGTGCTTGATAATTGTTTGCTGTGTATAGGTACCAATATAATCCAAATACTCCTGGTGTAGCTTCTGAGCTTCGTGTTGCTTCTACTAGAGATTTGAATTTGAACTTGTCTGTCTCCAACGCCAATACAATTTTACAAGCATATGCAAGCTGGAACAATCTTAGCCATGTCCAAGAAATACACGAGGTTAACTTTTGCAGACTGGATTTTGACTAACTTTGTTGTGTATATGATTGTTCTTTCTGCTGATAGGACATATATTACTAGCTAGAGTGACAACCTTTCTGCTTGTGACATGTCTTCTTGTGACAGATATGCATCTCCTGAGAATGTGCTATAGCCAGTTGTATTTTATTTTGTCTGCAGGAAGCAAGTTCTCCGACTAGTAATTCTGTATCTCTCACTGCTGTACATCAAAAGCGAAGTTACTACATTGTTCCTCAAAATAAGCTTGGGAAAGACATTTTCATCAGGGCGTCTGCAGTCAAGGGACTTCCTGACATAATTCAAATGCCGGCAGGAGATAGAAAAGCTCTAAAACTGCCAGCTCCGAAGAACATGCTTGATTCTCATTTGAAAGGATGTCTTCTTCAGAAACGGCGTATGATGGTAACTGTCATTGTAGCTGAAGCAGAGGTAAGTTCTACCGGAAGTCCTTTTTTTTTTCCTGTGGAATTTTCGGAATGGCCGTATAACATAATATTTTTTGGGGGCACTTCTTTCTAAGTTTTGTGATTAGCTTCCATTGGTTTTCAGTGATTGATTCGTTGCAATAGAATTTGTATATGTTGACTGTAAGGCCTGACCACTGCATATTAAAGCTGTCTCTAATAACTTCATCTTTTAAATCGTTATTATATATTGTTTTAGGGCACCCATTAGTATACTTTCGCCTATTCTAGGACATGTGATGTAACACCCCGCCTAAAACTTACTAAAATCAGAGTAAATTTGTCGCGCT